CGCCGGAGAGCAGGACAGCGACGCGGAGGTAGGGACGCTCCGCCCGCGGAGCTCTGGGCTTAATTAAAGTCCCGCTGGTGATGAGCGGGCTTAATGACACGTGCCGCGTGGGGACTTGGCGCGTGAGGGCTGTGGGAGCGGCAGGCTGAAAGGGCAGCGTTTCCCTTGGATGTACGGCACCGGGAGCGCCCGGCATCGCGCCCGGCATTGCGAGTGAAGCGCAGCAGCACATGCACCAGCACGTGGGAGCTGTCTCTCCTTCTGCTTTCCTCCTGGTGGTAAACGCCAAGCCCCTTCCGAGTCGCTTATCCTGCAGCGGAGAAGGCCAGCTAGCAGGAAGCAGTGTCCGTGCGCTCGTTTGTCTTCATGTAGCAACTTTTTTCCTGTCCTGCGGCACAAGGGTTTCTTCCTGCTGCACAGGCAGTCGCCATCCCAGAAACGTGCTCCGCTTCGTGCGGTGGCAGCGCTTTCTCGGCTGGCAGGCCCTTTGAGGAAGTGTTTGGCAAAGTGTCCCGTAAGGGATGGTCACGGTTGTCCTCGTTAATTCCCGCTTCTGGAGTTGTCCCGTCCAGGTTTCACCCCTGGCCTTGCACACAAGCCTGCCCGGCCTTCTGTGGGTGGTTCTCTCTCACGTTTGTGATGGGAACATGAATCGAGAGAGTGCTTTTGGTACGTTGGGTGTCACGACGTGATCCCTTGGATCTTTGAAGGAGAAGCTAAACGGTGAGCTTTAAGTATCTATTGGCATGCAAAGTTAAGAAGCTGTTTGCGTGCTGTACCAAGTAGGTGTGATTTAGAGGGAAATTCCTGCTTCGTATGTGAATTATGACACCAAATATGTTTTGCTGTGAAAAACAGTTTTCTAATGATGGCAGTGGGCTTTAATTTAAAGATTTTTAATGAGATGATTCGCTTTCCTGACTGGCCAGGCATACGTGTACGATGCAGTAAGATCACACGGAAGGGGCATTTGTTCCCTTTTGCTTGCCATGGGTCTTAAAAGGTGGTGCAAGTATGTCTGATTTTGGGATGAGATAGCAGTAGTCGTGGTTCTGAACAAGTTGTTGCAGGTAATGAGCAGGAAGACCTTTGGCAGGAAGTCTTAAGACTGATGTAAAACCGGGATTCGTGTGTAGGAATTCTGTCGCACTGAGTGGTGCAGCCTGTGTCAGTGTGTCTCGTTTTGTAATGGATCCAAGTTTCCCACTTTATGCTGTGGTGACGTTTTTCTTTGTGAATACCTGCATCACAAGGGTTTCTTTTCCTTTACACAGAAAGGAGGTGGCTGATAGAATTGCAGTTGGTAAAGCAAGCGCACAGCTTTTCTTCTGTAACTATGCAGAGTATGTTATTTGCTCATCTCTTAGAGCTATTAAGTGTGGGTTTTTTTTTTCTTTTATCCTGTTAGGAGCTGACAGAAGAAGCAAAAGAAGGCGCCTTCTCCAATTTTCCTCTCTCCCAAAACACCATCAACCTTCTCAAAGGTTAGTTAATATGGTAAAAGAAACTTCTGTAAATGTTTGTCCAGAGTTGCATTCTGTTACCCGTATAAGCAGAGACAGAAGCTGAGTGTAAATTGTCCTAAATCAGCTTAACGTTTACTGTGTGGTAAGAATATGCCCATGAGCGGCCACTGGAGATTCTAAGAACCTACTGTTGCTACTAGGAACAAAGTTTCTGGTTTGTTCAATTTCAGGTGCCTTAGGGTGAGTTTATTTTTCCACGATGTGGTTATTCCTAGATCTACATTCTAGAGATGGCGTTTCTCTTCTCTTCAGCATCGTTCTACTTACTATGTATCTTTACTTCAGTTCCCCTAGGCGCTGTCTACAATATCACTGTTAAATAAATATAGTGGTGTTTTCGTGTATGAAGACTATTTGGCTCCTGTGAACAGATTGTCTATGATTATTCTCATGCTTTTGGGTGTTTTCACGTCTTTTCTCTGTTAGTTTTGTTGAGGAAATAGTCACTGTAGAGTTCTTCTCCTCGATGTTGGGAAGCTGTGCGATTCTTGTTCCTCAGATAAAATTCTCCTTGTTCCTTTACGTTTTCCTTACTCAGAAGTTTTTCTTGGATGGGTTGTTTCACTTTCACTGTGCAAAATCTCTCTGAAGTTTTAGAATGTTTTGAGACAAAACATCCTCACCTGCTCCCCACCTTCGAAACCAAGCTACCACAAAAACTTGGGCTGTATCAGAAAAAATATGTTGGCCTGTTTTGGTTTTTTTTTCCTTCTTCCTCTCCTGTTTACTTATGTCAATCATCACAATGAAGACTGTATTTCATTGTGGATACTTGGCCAGATGTTCAGGAAGGAGTACCTTTTGATGTAGAATAGGAGTAAACCCAAAGATACACGGTTTTCTTCTAATTTGCATCTCCTGTTGTGTGCAGGATTTGATGTGATGTGCCCCTATATATGAGGGCTTCTAATTGTTCATTCAGCTTGCAGGAGAATAGGCACCTTTTAATGAAGCCTCTTTGGATTATTTTACAGCTCGAGGTGTAAAATACCTGTTCCCTGTGCAAGCGAAGACTTTTCAGCCCATATATGATGGCAAAGACCTAATTGCTCAAGCTCGAACAGGAACCGGGAAAACCTTTTCTTTCGCCGTTCCGCTGATTGAAAAACTTCAGAGTGTCTCGCAAGATGGGAGAAGAGGCCGTGCACCAAAAGTAACTTACCACTTAAGGGTTAACACCAAAACCTTAGAATATGGCAGTTTTCGCGAGTGATTTTTTAATTGCTTTGGGGACTTTTGTTTGGGACTTCTTTCTCCTTTATTGGTGTTTGTAATACTGAACACTTTCCTCAGATAAGGAGCTACAGTGTGACAGAGATTTTGCAGCATCACAGTGATAACACGTTTCGTGTTTAGGGTTCCTTGGGACTGCATTTGGGAGAGTGGTCAGGGAACTGCAGTAGTAGTAGCTGGTGGGCTTCCAGACTGCTGTCCTCAGGAAGTTAGCGTGTGGCTTTGAGGTTCAGTCCCTTGCCTCTTCTGAGGCAGCGGTTGGGTCAGCTGGACTTGTCTCCCTTCACTGAGGTTGTTCCTCACTGTAAGTTCCATGGTGATAACTTCCCCCAGCCCTCGTTTTCAGAGACTCAACTTAATGGATGCAAGTGGTGGTTACATTCCTACTTCAGCATGAGATGGAACTGGTAACCAGATACCTGTGATCAGATACCATATTCCCATGCAAGTGATGTGTTTATAATTAGACTGAAAAACTGTTGGAATCTGCAGATTTGTTGCCTACTTCATCCTTTGATTTTATTAACTTTAAAGGCAATGTAAGCTTTAAAATCTTACTGTCAGAAAGATTTCTGGAGAAGAAACCAGCTCTTTGTTTTACCGTTTCATTCTTAAAGAAAATGGAGGGGGGAAGGATAGATACTGGAGGAAGACAGGTAGGTGGAGAAGGAGGATATGTGGCTAGAGTGCATCATGCTGTGTATCTTTTAAGATGTTACTGCTCTAAATTGTTTAGTGACTGTTCCTGTCCTTTAATGCTGAACTGCACCTTCATTGCCCTTGGTAATGTTAACGAAGTGTCTATTATAATCTGGCATTAACTTAAGGGAAAAAAAAAAAGGCTGTTCTACATCTCAGTTAACTTGTAATACTTTGCCTTGTTTCCTCTTGCTGGCTATGAGGCAGTGTTGTGCAGGCTCCAGGTGGCAGGAAGTACTGCTGTGATGTTGGGGAGCTGTGGGCACCTCTGCAACAAGTGTAGAATAAGGGGTACAAGCTGTTTGATGCGAAGTAAACCCTTTTCTCCTAGCACGCTCTCCCAAGCACAGGTGCATTTTGGTCTTTTTTTTTTCTCCCTCCAGGTGCTGGTCCTTGTTCCAACCAGGGAACTGGCCACCCAGGTAGCCAAAGACTTCAAGAATCTCACCAGGAAACTGTCAGTGGCTTGTTTTTATGGAGGAACTCCGTATAAAGAACAGCGTAAGTAAACACTATGGAGTTACTGTTGGATTGGAGTTGGCATTCTCCAAATGCATTCCATGAATAAAACTGGCTTTTCTCCCCCCTCAAGAGTTTCACTTCAGGCAGGAACCATGACATTGCTTTCAAAGGAAACATGCAGCTGGGGTTGAATTATTTTAGTTCCAATAAATCTATATTTAAAAGAATGGTTGCAGGTTTGCAAAGTGACTGGTCCTTTTAGTTTCTTCTTTTTTGGATCTTTGTGTGTGGATCTATGCTGGGACTAGACAACTGTCCAAGGAAAAGAGAGAGCTGTGTATGTGTGTATGACTGTGTCTGTCTCTCTTCAGAGGTAGCCGTGGAAAAGAATTTAGCTGAAAAACTGAAGTGTATTTCTGTGATAAAGCTCTGGAGATTTTTAATGCCAGTTGATTGCTGCTAGGAAATTGGACCATCTCGCTGTAACTTTGTTTGTGGTTTAGCTGATATTCCTGACAGAGCAACTCGGACCACCATTAAGCTTACTTATTTGATGCCTGGACTGGACATAGTGCTTTATTCAGGGATTAAAGTGAAAGACAGTAGTTTTTTGGTTCTAAAATTAGAAGTGTTGCAGTGTACTGGTAGCTTTTTACCTTATTGCCTTTTAGCATTCTGACACTGTCCTTGTTTTTCTGTCTTTTCTTCCAGTTGATCTCCTTAAAAGTGGCATTGATATTCTAGTGGGAACTCCTGGACGGATCAAAGACCACGTTCAGAATAGCAAGCTGGAACTTTCCAGTGTGAAGCACGTTGTTCTGGATGAAGTTGATCACATGTTAGACATGGGCTTTGCTGAACAAGTGGAAGAAATCTTAGGATTTGCTTACAAAAAAGGTAAATTTTGACATCAGGAGAGGAAGAGGGGATCGGTCTTGATTCCTTTGGGTGATGCTAATATTGGAGCTCAGAGAAAAGACTATGGTCGAATTGGAAAGGGTTCAAAGCAGCCTTTGTGTGATGCTAGTATTAGACCTCAGAGAAAAGGGTAAGGTAGAATTGAAGAAGGTTCAAAGCAAGGTGACAGATGGCTGAAGGACTGGAATGGCTTCTCTGGAAGGACTGGGCTGGGGGGAGGCGAAAAAGCAACAAACCCAACCCAACTTCCTAAGCCCTAGTGCTCTTCGTCCTGAGAGAGGTGACTGAGCATAGGGTTAGGGTTATGGCTTGTCTATACGCTCGTCGTCACACAGAGTTGAGAACTGGGGATTATTTGCTCTTTCCTGGTATAATGAGCATTCAGTGAAGCCACCAGGTAGCTGGTACAAAGCAGAAGAAGGTTACTTTAATAGTGTGAAATCCCTTGTGGCGTTGTACTAATGCCAAAAGTTTTGAAACGTGACTTAATGAATTACTGGAAGTAGAAATACCAAGGATTACTAAAAGCGAGAGTATTAAAGTCTGTCTCTGGAAGCCAAAAAAAGTTGGTTGCTGGCAGTGTCTTCATACCTTTGTTAACTACACTTGGCTGCTGTTGGAAAGAGTATGAGAGCTTCATGGATCTTAGGCTTGACTCAGTACAGCCACTGTCATTGTTGCTTGACTGTTACATTCTCCTCATTTCTACAGAGTTGGTCTTTGTCCTGACAGCCAAAAGATAATCTTCTAAAAAAATGAAATCTGTAGGTTTTGGAAGAACTGTCATAATTATTCCATCTTAAAAGTTTTCTTCATAACTGGAAAATAAATTTCAGGGAATAATAGTGTTTTGCAATGTGTGTTTCTTTTTGTGTGATCCTGTGGAGCTATGAAGGTAGGTTTGACTTCTTCAAGATACTATTTGGTAAATTGTTCGTGCCTGGGGTAATCTGCTTTGGTTTATAATTCTTCCCCTTGATTTGCAGTGTCATTTTTAGCCTGCCTTTTTCCTTTGCACAGAGCCATGCTGGTCACAGTTAGGTAGTACTGGAATACCAGGCAAGGAGAGACTGAGACAAGAGTTCTTTCGGGTATGTGGGAGGACTTCAGGCACGCTCTAAACCATTCTTAGCAGGTGATCTAGAAATGAGTCTTGCATTTCTTCTCAGGCAGGAGGAAGGATTCAGTTTGGTCCTATTAAAATTACTGTGATTTTGCCTTTGGTTTCTAAAAGGTTTTAAAAAGGTTTTCATTGCTTCTAAGTTTTCTTCTTGCAGCTGGCTTACTGCACGTATAAACCTCTCAATTAGAGGGTGACTTAGTTGCTTTTTTATCGGTTCTCAAGTTTCAGAGTGTTGTGATGATTGAAATCGATGGCCTTTCTTTCCAGGTTCTGAGAACAACCCTCAGACACTGCTGTTTTCTGCAACTTGTCCACGATGGGTATACGATGTGGCAAAAAAATACATGAAAGATGAATACGAACAGATTGACCTGATTGGAAAGAAGACTCAAAGGACGGCCACGACTGTGGAAGTGAGTGATTCTGCTGCGGAGCCGTGCAGGTCCTGAGAGCATGTGGCCTGGATGAGACCGATTCTGCGTTTACTTTACAAACAGGGGTGTGGAATGACCGACGCACAGATATTTTTAAGCAAAGCTTTCCTATGGGGGCAGTAGTTTGCAAGCTTAAAAAAAAAAAATCTTTTTGTGTTCATTTTGTCTGTCATGTGCGTGGCTTAGATTTAACACAGGTGCTTACCGTGTTTCTTTCCGAAACAGCACTTGGCTATACAGTGTCGGTCATCTCAGAGAGCGGGAGTTCTTGGAGATATCATCCAAGTCTACAGTGGCAGCCGTGGGCGGACCATTGTCTTTTGTGAGACCAAAAAGGAAGCAAATGAACTGGCTATGAATGCTTCACTCAAACAGGTACTGGGGTCTGAACGGAGAGCGGCAGTTACGGATGTTTAGGAGTTGAGTGCCCTGAAATAAATATGAGACCGCAACTGTGCGGATGAAGTTGTTTCTGTGGGTGGTTTTAAGACTTATGAAAGCCGTTTCTGAAAGTAGAGCTTTGCAATTAAAATGGCTGTGATTATGAAATTACTTCTTTGGCTTTAAAATCATACAGGACAGAATCGACAGAAAATACACAGCTTATGCCAAACAACCAGGAGATAGTAATAATGGTAATAAAAGAGCTGGTGTAGTGCACATATTTCATCTCATGTCAGTATTCAGGAAAATCCAGCCGGTATCGTAGAACAGATTGTCCTGTTGCCCTTGGAAGGTCGTTTAACTGTTCAGACCTGAAGTGATATATTGAGCAGGTTTTCTATGCTTGCTTGAACTATCAACTTTTTCCTGACAGTGGGGAAAGGTGCTGGACGATTCAGAGCAAATCCTATTTGATACTAAACACTAATTTATGGAAAAAGAGCAGAAGTGTGAATACATTATTTTCCCAGTGTTTGATACGTCATACACCGTCTGCACTAAAGTCTTGCAGAACAATTTTTGTCTGTTGGCCCTGCTGCTTTTACAGTAAACCCCATGACTTTGTTCTTGTGTCAGTACGTGATGTGTGTTGCTCGTAGGCGACTAAGTTCTGCTTTAGCATGTTACTCGTTTGAATTCTGCGTTTATGAGTCTCCCCTTTCTCCTTGTCAAACACTTGATCTGTCTCTTGTCCTGGTAAAAGTGGAGGTTGTTCAGATCACCTGTAGAGTTTGGGAGTGCCCTTGAAAACCTCACTTCAGCTTCTCTGTGTTTTGGGATGGCTTCCTGAGAAAGGGAGCAAAATCTCTTGGTAGCTCTTGGCAAGCACTGCTTGAGTAAAGTTGCTTCTGTTTGTTCCAGTGGAAGTGGAAGCTAAAGTCGCCTGTTGGTGTGCTGCAAATAGTAATGTTACGGTAAAACTACTGCTTGTGAGTGTTATTGTCCCAGAGAAGGATGCTTTGTATTCCCTTGGTATCAGCTGTGTAATTATTTTCTGTTGCTCTGGACAGTATTTGGGGTTTTGTAGTTTAAATGTCTTTAGATCCTGCGGCCTGGACTCCCCTTTTAAATGGCATGTTAATGGTTTGTTTCACTGACAGGATGCCCAGTCATTGCATGGTGACATTCCACAGAAACAGAGAGAAATTACACTAAAAGGCTTCAGAAATGGTGTGTTTGAAGTTCTGATTGCTACAAATGTAGCTGCCCGTGGTTTGGATATTCCTGAGGTTGACCTTGTTATCCAGTGTTCACCACCAAAAGTAAGTCATTAGGGGAGACTAAAATTACAGTTTATTTTTTTGTGACAGAACAGTGTGTTATTCCTTTGTTTCACCAGAATTATTATTCTGATTCACCAATTAAGTTGATTTTTTTTTTTTGTAAACACAGGCCTAGGATTTCCTAGTTAAGCTTTTATGTTTTGAGCTTTGATTAAAGTAAAAATGATGGTTACTCTGGAAGGTTGTAAGACAGCTTTTGATGTTTCAGTGTTTCTGAATGTTGCTAGGTTGAGTTTTGTAACAATTCTGAAATACTTATGTCTTTTTATTCCTTTGAAACTCTAGTGAAACTTTTTATTTTAAAAAACTTATGCCAGTAGTGTTTGTTAAACCTGAGACAGCATTCCTTGGGTAGGGTAGCATGCACAAACCCGAGTGGTTTGTGTGTAGTTGGAAGTTTGGGTGTAGAAACATAATGTATCACTTCTCAGGGTTCTGAAATAGAATTTAGCTTGCATTTTCTCTGTCTTACTATGTATAAATGTCAACAGTTTAAATGACATAACGTTTTCTCATGATAATCTGTATTTCTGAAGGATGTTGATTCCTACATCCATCGTTCTGGACGTACAGGTCGAGCTGGTCGGACTGGGATCTGCATTTGTTTATTTCAGAGAAGAGAAGAAGATCTTCTGAAACAGGTCGAGCACAAAGCGGTGAGTTCAACCTCAGGCGTCTGCTTAATGACATTACTCAGCTTCTAAAGGACTCTGGCACTCTTAGACTTTGTAACCATGGGCTGCTTATGGCTGCATGAATCCAGTATGGGACTCATGTCCCATAGTCCAGTCAGCCTAAAACATCGATATTTGATAAGCGTTTGTATATTATTTTGTATCAACCTGTTCTGGGGTCTGGTGAGTTTCCCTATGTAGGCAGCACTCTGTTGCTGGCAGCAGGCAGTCTGTGACAGGAACGTGTGAAGGAGACCATGCCTCACGTTAAAATCTGCATGTAAATTGATATAAAGTAGCTCCAGGTTCACAAAGGTGGGGAATTAAAGAAACGCTTTATTCTAACTATAGAAGTAACTTAATTTAAGTAAAAACTATGAATATTCTAAACAGTAAGTGAGTAGAGGTCTTGGTAACCTGACTCAGGTCGGGTTGAGTTGTAAAGCACTGAGAATACCTTTCACTGTAATTTGTTTTCTTGATTTCAGGGGATCACGTTTAAGCGTATAGGTGTTCCTTCCGCTACAGATGTAATTAAAGCTTCAAGTAATGATGCCAAGAAGTAAGTTTATTTGTCTGGTCTTAAAAGATGTCTAGAGTTCTTACCGTCAACAACGTTGTTAAGGCAAAGCTTTGAGGGACCCAGATGTGAGCATGTCTTTGCCTGTGTCATAAAAGACAGCTGCTTTGCATGTAGACACTGACTGCTCTTCATAGGATGTTGTCAGTGAACCTCTGTGCTTGAACACAGACCTTTTTATAGAACATAATGTTCTCAAAGTTCTTGCAAAACATAATCTTCATATACATCATCGGAGATAAACAGCAGAACAGGGAATTACTGTCATGCGGGGATACTGGTTTTGTCTGCTCAGGTGGTGCAGTAGCGGTGTGTAAAGAGCAGTACCTCCCATAATGAGGAGTTAGCCCCATCCTGTGTTTCTTGGGATCGTTTTATTCTTAAGGGTTGTGGGTTTTATTCTGTGCAGCTCTGTTTACGTTTGCTGCTCGATTGGGGGAAGTTGCAGGGACAGAGATGATTATAATTAGTGAGGATTTGACCAGTGTAAAGGAGATAATGGGCTTGGTCTTGGGTTCCCTGTGTTCTGAACAATGGTGTGAGGTGCTGGTGTACCAAAAGTAGCATTAGAGAAGTAGCTGTTGGGTTTCCTAGCTTGTTCTTACTGCCTTTCCCAGAAATAACCAATTTACTCAGCTTGTACTGAGAGCAAGAAGTGCCTTGCCCCAGCCCAGCAGTGGTGGTGTAGTGGTTTGCTTCTCTTCACTGTGAAGAAAAAGCAAGGGATTCTTGGGTTTGCTGGCAGTACTTTCTTGAGGATTCTTGGGTATGGCCTTAAGAATGCTGATATTTTAGAGCCTTCCCTTGATGTATTTATCAATGCTTTTAACCATGTCATGTGTACATCCCCAGTTTTGAACTTATCTTTCAAGAGGCTTGGGTTAATGAGCAGAGAAGGTAAATTACTCAGCGTCCTGGAAGTGTTGAGTTAAAGGGGTGGTGGTGAAGTGTAAGCCTTATAGCCAAGGCTTTTAGAAATTATTTGTTAACCTTGAAAGCGGTCTGAAATCTGATGTCTTGAGCATGACTGCACTTCACACTGGCCTTTGCTGATCTTCTAAACTTGTGTTGTCACCATCTAGGTTGTTGGAGGCCATTCCTCCTTCTGCAGTAGACTACTTCAGAAAATCTGCTCAGGAGCTCATAGACGAAAAAGGGGCGGTTGCTGCCCTGGCTGCAGCGCTGGCCCATATTTCTGGAGCATCTTACATACAGCAGCGCTCCTTACTCAACTCAACCGCGGTAAATAGCACTATACCTGTGTTAACGGGAACGGATAATGAATGCCTGTGGCCAGGCCGCGTGTGGCATGGTCTTCTCGGGCACTTTCAGTAGGGTTTCTGCATAGCTGTTATCCCCAAATTCTGGTTTGTTGCTTGTTTCTTAGCTGAAATCAGCTCTTTCTGGCACTCTGCAGGAAAACAAAGAAACTGGAAATCAATCCATTTTCTTGTAATGAGAGTTAAAAGAATTTCTCCACAGACCTAAGTGACAGAAGATTTTGATGCTCTGAGGGAGCTTAACTACTGAAATTTTACAAGCTGATAGATTGCTTCGTGCTATTGCTATTTTCCCTTCCCAGGAAGCATTTACATTTCTGAAATACTTCAAGTCAGTCTAGCATGTGATTTACCTGATTTTAAAGATATCTTGACAGAAGAGAAGTACAGCCCTTCCTTTTTCTGATGCATTTAGGGAGAACATGGACCTGTTCATTGTGTGGTAACACAATTTTGGAAATAGCATGTGAATGGACTATGCTTCTTGTATCACTTTGGTGTTTTTTTACCTCTTTTTCTAGCAGTAACTTTATGTATGGAATAAATGTGTGCCTGCTTCTGGCTAAAATACAGAAATGCTATTGGCCTTTATATCAATGGGCAATCCTAGTTTAGATTGATGCCTTCAGCTTCCTGGGAGGCTTTTAGTTGCTTTGCTTTTTGGAAGCTGATTTCTTAGGATTAAATACTATGTTACGATGACAAGTTATTGCATAGTTTGTTCGTTAGTGAGTTAGAGGCTGTCCAACCAAGTTTAGTCTTGTAAATGTTTTTCTCTGTTTATTTCCTGAAGGGCTTTGTGACAATGGTGTTAAAATGTTCAATAGAAATACGTACCATGAGCTATGCCTGGCGAGGACTAAAAGAACAGCTTGGTGAGGAAGTAGATGCCAAAATATCTGCGATGCGTTTCCTCAAGGGGAAGATGGTAAGGTGGCCCAGCCTTGGGGAAGGAGGGGAGTGTGTGTGTGTACACATATGGCCAGTTTTTACAGTGATTGAGGTGGGAGTTCTGAAGTACCATTACATAAATGTTGATACCTCACTCTAACCCTACTCAATCTTATTTCTCAGAAAATGGTAACCTATCATGAGGTCTCCTGTAACTGCTGTCTATGTATACACTATTGAAAAAAAGGAAAAAAAAAAACAAAACCAACAACAGCAAACAACCGAACTCCAAAACCTTACAGCTAGCTGAGTGTTTTAAAAGACATTTATTTGAATGGAGACATTGCTCCTAAATGATAATGCAGGAATTCTCCCCTTAAAAAAACCCACCAAACCACAAATGTTTCAAAGAGGTATCTGTATCTCTGTATTTCTCTATCTCCCACTATATATATATATATATATATATAGTGGGAGAGGTTTTTGAGACTTTCATTCTTTCATTGTGAACTTGTGCTAGCACTGCATACCACTGCATTGAAAAGACAGCTGTGGAGCAGGGCAGTGACCGACTGCCTGACCTGATGGGTACGGTATTGACCTGACTGTCAGCCTGGCTCCTGACACTTGTCTCCTGTGCCAGTGTGTTCCTGGACAGCTTGTGGTGCCAGGTGACACCTGTCTTACTTTCAGATGGGCTGATTGCAGGCAATGCTGCTGTCAGTGCAGAGTATCTGAATTTGTGTTTTGTTTTGAGCTTTTGTGTTTTAACTGCTTTTTTTCTTCAGCTTAACAAAAAGCTTCCCCCAAAAGACCATGCTTTCTACCATTTCTGGTTGCTGCAGTTAGTGTGTATGAGCAGGTGCTGCCTGTCTGGAGTTGTGTGTCTCTCTCACTGGATATACCTTTGCAAAGCAAACGCATCTGTCTTTTTTCCTGTTAATAGGGGGTGTGCTTTGATATCCCTGCTGGCGAGCTGAATAACATACAGGTATGTTTTTGTAGCCAGAAATGGCTTTGGAACCTGATGATTCGAAATTTGGTGGTTGCTGTGTATAAGATTGAATATGGGGTGGCTCGGGAGGATAAGGTTTATGTTTTAATAAGGATGTTGCATAGACAGCATAGTCATTAGAAAATACCCTGTCGTGCTTCTTTCCCCTTTCAGTTCTCATTGTATTACCTGATTTTATTAAACAAAATCCTGTGTTTGGCTGCTCTAATTTTTGACCTCTCCAGTGTATTTGGGAGTTAACCAGTTTTCTGTTGACTTTACTCCCTATTTTCCTTTGTGATCACTTACCCTTTGTCACAGGGCTGTGAGTTGTCTCCCAAGAGGGATCTGCTGACCTATTTTGGTGAGGGCAGGGATTTGTCTGGAAATGCCATTGCATTCAATATTGCTTTTAATGATATAGGGCACCTCGTACACACCTGCAGGCACCTAAGTCTTGTTAAATTGTTCTTGTTTCAGGAACAGTGGCGGGACACGAGGCGCTGGCAACTGTCGGTGGCAAATGAACTGCCTGAGCTGGAAGAGTACCCCCAGGAGGCAGGACGAGGGTTTTCCAGGTTCGGAAACGGGAGGCAAGGTGACGGCGGCTTCAAGAGAAACAACTGGTTTAAGAACGGAAACCAGGGACATGATTTGAACAGGTCACTTGATTAACCTCTGGTACAGATATAGGACTGAGCTGATTTTTTTTATCAGAAAGTAAAAGCCTGTTAGGTGTTCTTCTTTGTCTTTATTCCTTGATAAAGCAGCTGTCTTTGAGGATGGCTAAAAATCACGTTTGCTGAAATGACTGCTTTTTTTGGAAGAATTTTCTTTTTTGCCCAGCAAACC